AAAATAATAGGTTGTCTTCGATACTTGACTCATACAAGACCAGATCTTGCATACTCGGTGGGATATGCGAGTAGATACATGCAAGCTCCTCAGAACACACATTTTCAAGCTGTAAAACAGATTCTCAGATATGTGAAGGGTACTACAGATCTGGGAATTCATTATCGAAGAAGTGGAAGTAATGTTTTACTTGGTTTTAGCGACAGCAGCTTCTCGGTAGATCCGGATGATGGAAAAGGAACTACTGGATTAGTTTTTTACTTTGATGATGGACCCATTGCGTGGAATTCGCAAAAACAGCCAACAGTAGCCTTATCATCTTGTGAAGCAGAATTTATGGCTGCCACTTCAGCAGCCTGTCAAGCAATATGGTTATGGGGATTGTTAGCTGAAATAACTGGAAGAAAAGAAGAACAAGTGGTGATCAAAGTAGATAACAAATCAGCAATATCCTTGATGAAAAATCCAGTATTTCATGAAAGAAGCAAGCATATCAACACGCGGTATCATTACATACGAGAGTGTGTTGAAAACGAGCAGATTAAAGTTGAGCACATCAGCGGAGATCAACAACAGGCTGATATTCTTACAAAAGCACTGCCAAAGCTGAAGTTTGCTGAAATGAGAAAGATTCTTGGGGTAGAAAGGATTGAAGACTCGAAGGACTCAAAGAAGTAAAAGAAGACTCAAGGTCAAGATTGGGAGGGTGATTGTTGGACCAATCTTGACATTCAGTAATAGTTAGGGGGTTTATTTTGTAATTATGTTGAAGTCTTTTTTTGTTAATAATTAGGGTAGAGTCAGTCATAATTTTAGGAGATATATCTCAGATGGATTTGAGATTATCATAGCTTGTAGGAGTAGGAGATGCTATGCTTGGAGAGCAAGGCTGATGATTTAACTTGGTGGACAAGGTTAACTCATCTATAAATAGGGATAGTTTCTCTATATTTTATGTATTCAAAGTTTTTCAATTAATTGGAGAAGGATTTCCAATAAGTTCTTGTTCTAGATTTCTGTTTTCTGTTTATCGAGATCTGGTACCAATAACTTCACTTTCTAACAGTCTAGTTTGTGGAATATATGTGCTTTGTTTGAGAGGAAAGAACATGTTGTTTCAGGAAAGCAAAGGTGTGGAGGACTTTGGTGATGTCATAAGAGAAGGGGGAGGAGCTTTTGCAAAAGGCCTTTTTCGTGGCGTCACTGGCATTTTGACTAAGCCTCTTGAGGGAGCAAAAGCTTCAGGTGTCGAGGGTTTTGTTCAGGGTGTTGGGAAAGGATTGATTGGTGCTGCTGCTCAACCTGTTAGTGGTGTTTTGGATCTTCTATCAAAAACCACAGAAGGTGCGAATGCTATGAGGATGAAAATAGCATCAGCTATTGCTTCAGAGGATCAACTCCTTAGGAGGAGGCTGCCTCGAGTGATTAGTGCTGATAATCTGCTTCGACCATATGATGAGTACAAAGCACAAGGCCAGGTATCAACATCTTTCCTATTATTTGTCATGGTAGAAATGAGAAATAGGTTATAGGCATGCATGCATAATTGAACCTACATACTAGTAGTTAATGAGCATTCACCCACTTTTGGCTAGCAAAGTATGAGAATGCATATATTTCCTTCTACAAATTCTTCCAGCTATTGTTTGCTTGGCTTCCATTCTGGGATGCACAAAAGCGTTGGCATCTACGATATGATTGGAACAAAGCATGCAATTCAAATACAATGCCCCTTGACCTTCGCTTGTATCCTAGGACATCATGAACACATCCATTTTACATGTTAAAGCGCTGAAAACATTAAACGGCAAATTCAAGTTCTCAGGAGACACATTATGATTTGCAACGTTAAGTTCCCAACATAACTCATGCTTAAAAAATTAATTCGTGTAAAGACAAAATGATATGTGAAACACAAAACTGAAGTTACTTTGATTCCATGTAAATTATTAAAGAGATCTAATTAACAATGTTAAAGAACTTCATGTCTGATTACAAACTATGCTTAAGATATATGTATTCCTAATAGCTTCTCAGAAAATGTTAAGAAGACTTCAACACATATCATCCAAAGTTAAGTTAATGAGCTAATCCTTTTCTGTAGTTGCTCCCCACCATGATGGTTTTTATCTATGCATGATATGTTTCTCCTTATTAAAGCATCTATTCTTTGATCCTTGAATACTAGTTACATGTGGGAAAACTAATCCTCGTTACTTTCTACCTTGTCATTATGAAGGTAATATTGCAGTTAGCAGAATCTGGATCATTTTTTGGCCAGGTTGACCTTTTCAAAGTGCGAGCAAAATTTGCCCTGACAGATGCTTATGAAGACCACTTTATGCTTCCTAAAGGAAGAATAATTGTTATCACACACCGGAGAGTTTTACTCTTGCAAGTAAGTTGATCAAACTAATTCGGAGAGAGTTAGACTGACTGACAAGTTCAAACAAATACCACCCGCTCCATTTCATAATATTATCTATGCTCACAAATTTGGTTGATAATAGTGCTTATTATTTGTTGTCAGCAACCTTCAAACCTTATTGCACAAAAGAAGTTTAATCCCGCAAGAGATCCGTGTTCAGTTTTGTGGGATGTCTTATGGGATGACTTGGTGACCATGGAATTGTCTCCGGGTAAGAAAGATGCTATGAATGGCCCACCCTCACGGCTTATTATATATCTGCAAAGTCGATCACTGGAAGGAAAGGACCAAGTTCGCATCATAAAATGCCAGCCCAATTCTAATCAAACATTTGAGGTTTATTCATCAATCGAGCTGGCAAGGACTACTTATGGGCCACGTGATTCAAAGGTTTAAATTTCTACTTACCATCTAAAAAACCAAGCATG